TACCTTCCCAAACGGATCTGCTACCAATTTACCATTCCCGGAAGAAGGATGGTCTGGTTGGCCTGGGTGGCTGATCCAGCATTTCCAGCCCCAACGTCGCTTAACTTGCCACATCTGACGGGATGGTGTGTATTCAAGGTGGTATGACCGGAATGGGGTTTTAGATATAAGCAGTTATTGTCACAAACCAAGTATCTACCTAAAATGAAAACAGACTTCTCTCAAGACAAAGAATGACGAGAAATGAATGAGGAATGAACAATGACTGGAATACTAACCAGACCTAATATCTAATTCAGCTACTCTTTGTCTTGAGATTTGAATGGTCGAAAAAAAAGTTAAGAATCACTCGGAAGAAAACGAGGCCACATGGAGAGGAGTCCCTCTACTTGTCATGAGTCGACCACCGTAACCAGTACTTCTACTACGCACCACTGTAACCAGTACTTCTACTCGACGCAACCACCTACTTTCCCTCAACTTGAGTACGGGACACCGAAGGGTCTTCAACTAGCACCCCCAGCACAATTAACCAAAACCTTTCAACCTCTACATACTTTCCGTCACTCCGGAGAAAGGGGAAGAAACATGTTTAGCCGCTGTTTCGAGTCACTATGTTCGCTTCCTTTCTTTGGTTTGCATGAAGGCACCACACTGTCTGTGTGGGCGGTGTCAGGCCTACCATTATGCCTTTCCCGTTGCTGTTCTTCCTCTCCACTGTAACAGCAGAGAGATGCGCACCAGTGAAGTTTATGCAATGGTGATCCTGATTCCGCCCATGTGATCAAAGCGGACTTTATGTCCCGTGAGTAAATTGACCCCTAGATGAAAGCTCTGACAGTATAAGACTTGAAAGCGAACGGAACAGTGGCGCGTTCCAAAAAGTTTAAACAGATGATCTCGCATAAAATCCTCCCTCCCCACGAAAAATAGCGACTTTGAACTCACTCTTTCTGAAAAGCGATCCTGAAGGTATTGTCGAAGCTGAAGAGCTTGACGGAATCCCATGATCACTACAATCCACAGAAGAACCTGGAGGCGTATCAGTGGTACATCTGAAAAGTCTGGTCGCACTCGACAATAAATACAGAAGTGATATAAAAATTAGAAAAAAATAATGAAAACAAATAAAGAAATAGAAATAAATTCAAAGATCAACTTACGACTGGGATGAAGCTTCGAGCAACAACTGATTCATATACTCGACAAGTACTTGAAGACCATTGTTTGGTGGATTGAGGAATTGAATGACCCAACTAAAAAACGTATTTTTTTTTCAAAAAACTTCGCAGCATGTACAACTGGTTACTCACTCGACACTATTTGTTCGTAATGAAATCTCAATATGCTTTAGAACAGCCGTTGATGTCTCATCTCCCAGCACTTTTTTATTCTTTTTCAAGGCCTTTTTGTCGAGAAAATACGATAGTTTAGTGAGGTAGTTTGCCGGATCCACATGAGCATTCATGCCTTGCTAAAATTTACAAAATTTTTTTTCAAAAATTGAACATAGTCATACAGAAAGTACAAAACAAAAAAATTTTATCGAAAATTTGCGGTGGGGCGGGGCGTTGCAAAGTGCGTGTCTGAAGACTCGATAGCCATCAAACTAAAGGCCACCGAGCGGATTGCGGAGACCGCCTAACGCCCTTTCCCCCGGATAGCCATGCCCGTGATATGTTAGCTTCGACCCAGTTCGAGTGGATGTTAGAGGGATTTCGCGCGCAACAGTAGCAAAAACCCGGCGTGTCCACCAGTCAATTGTCGGCGGGCCGCGGGTGCAAATGGGGTCGGATGAGTGTGGTTTGTCTGAAGTGGGGATGCTGGGGGGGCGTGGCGGGACGAAGGCAGTGACTGACAGGTGTGCGCTAAGATCCAATATTACTCGGGAGCATGTGTCTGCCAGCGCCACGCCACCAGTCGTTCCAATCGTCGCGCTGGGTATTTGAATCGGCTCGCGTGAGTCGTACGTCGCACCGCGACGACGCCAGTTAAACACTCAGGCCTCATGTAGTGCGTGCCCGTTAATTCCGGCACTTCAGTGGGAAGGATGACCGGCGCCCGGCGGGGACAGGAGGGTGCATTGAGGCGTATCGCTGAGCGTTTTCCGAGTACGCGTGTTAAGCGCAAAGTGAAGGCGGAAAGCCAAATGGCTCACCATTCGATGCACGGTTTACTGGCTCTAGATCAGCGTGTTCAGATGACATAAAATGCCTGTTGAAAAGGATCGATATTAAATGCGATTTACCAGTGGTTGAGACCTCTTTTTTATGTTGGGGAGCGGGGACGGCGGAGGAGACTGGATTTCACACGGTTTTTTGATGTTGGGGCAGGGGGCGGAGAGAGCACTGACTTGCACGACGGGCTGGAGAGCCTCTGCATGCTTCGCACTGCACTTACTACCCCCACCAAACCGAATGGCGCACGTTTTAGATCTGGAGAGGTTAAAAGAAAACAACAAGTTCAATGCCATTCAAGTATAAACAGCCGAGAAAAAACCTACACTATCCACGACAACCTTCCATTTCTTCTCATTATTGTACTCTTTTAGTATTCGCATCTTATCCACTGGTAAATCCATTTGTTTCTGAAGAAAAATCATATTGCAATTTCTTATATGAACATTCACTCATTTCCTGATTTTACTAAGTCACTGGTTTCAAAACTGCAGAGTTGCTGCGTCTTGTATGAGTCGAATCATCCGGGATTGAATGAATATTTAGTATCCCCTTTGAGTTTATATTCTCGATACCTTTTTATTTTATTTGACTTTTATTTTTTTCACTTTCGTCAACATACGAGCGCCTCTGAAGAGAGGAGCCATTTCGAAAGCCATTGAGACAGCTATTTCGCCCAGAAAACGTCACAACCAGAATCCCTTCACTAATCAGCATTCCGGTCAAGGGTCTACTTCATGGCCCATTTCACACGAACAAAACCATCACCCCCATTCGCGCCTTATATCTCGCAAACGGCTCAAAATGGGGCTGTTCACGCATTTCAAACAAGGAAATAATGGTTCGCTGCTTTTGGCGACCTCCTGCAATTGGTGCTAGTTGGTTTGAGTAGAGAGCCAAAATAGCCCGAGTCAAATCTAGCTGAGAACCTGTCAGAGGGAACAGTCTGACTCTCACAAAACGAACTCACATTGGGTTAGCGCGAAGACGCCTCTAATTTGTGCTGTGCTAGCGCTGGCAACAGAACATAATCGAGATGGGTGCAATAGTGGTTCTAGCCTAACCCTCTCAGAAGTTCCCCTTTCAGGACGACATCCCCCCATTCTTTCTACCATGTTCCCAAATTCTCCCAACTCCCTCCCAACTTCCACAAATTTCCAAAGAACCCCAACAAACTGCCGTCGAGGGGAGGAAGGGATGGTCAGCAATCAACTACCAAAGCCAGCTATCAACAAAATAGCAATCGTCTCCTAGTTCTGCGGCGCCGGCAACAAAGGGAAGGGGAGGGAGGGGCGAATAACGCTCGCGAAATGGAAGAAATGGCGAGAAAAGTCTCTCAAAGCAGGTATAGCGACCCCCCCCCCTCGAGCGACTAAGTACGACCCTCTCTATAAGATGCCCAACGATGTTGTATCTTGACTGGTATAACGCGGCTAGCAGCACCGGCGCCTATGAGCGCGCGCATTTTGGCTCCGAGTAGATGCGATATTCGCGTTCAGCTTGTCCACGGGAACGAGATGCTAGCGATTTCTAACCACTGGGAAAATTCGACCTAAATGAGGCCAGACCCCGGGAAAGAGGGGCAGCAAAGGATAAACTACGCCAGCAAGCTCGTTGTCTCCTCATGAACTTTAAAAACATACGAAATTTCTTCCGCTTGGAACCAGCTCTACGTCATCTTCTCCCACTCATCCTCCAATGCCCACACTTTTTCAGATGTCGTCCTTACGACATGAACATTTCAAGATTCCCTAAGCAGCTCTTCGAAACACTCGTTTAGAATTCCGCGAAGTGTCCGCTCAAAGCGCTCGCGTACACTACACAGGCTATTGTTGTACGGCGGCGGGCCGTAACGATATACACCGTTTGCTCTTCAAAAAACTCTCCGAACAACGGAACAACGCATCGACGTTAAAAAGAACAAACAAGATGCAGGTGTTGTTCCCGCTCAGCCATTGTAAATCAAGGTTCTAAGAAATCGTCGGTTAATCTCGAAGCAAATTTGAAGATAACGAAAGCCACCCTAGGAAAATGACGAATAGCTTAACCAGAACTTGATTCAAACATCGGCAATTGATCATCCGCGGCTCGGCATCAGGACGGCCACAACGGCGGTTGGCCGAAGGACCTACATGGTTTCCTAGAAAGAGACACAGGCTAGAATGCAGGCGCCGACGGATTAAAAAACAGTTGAACAATCAAGGAAACACACAAAACACTGACAGGAATGGTTCCAAATTCCCATGGAACTTTGAATGGATACCTAGGTTCGTCGATAGGATCATGGACGCTTGAATTACGATGCCGTGCTGAGGATCAAAGTGCTATGGGGAGACATGCCAGACGAGTTACTGGCGCGGTTCAATTTTGCGAAAAACGAATTTGGCTCATATGAGCTGCATTAGCTAGGCTGTGCCACGTGGCCTTAGATGGACTAACGCGTCTCGCTTCCAAAGGCGAAAATGAAAGACTGTGGTAGCGGTTGCATCACGTTGGCGCGAAGCCTTTTTGCTTGAGGTTCTCCTATGAAAGCTATTTACTTAATTTTCAATATCCTTCCGAGTTTACGGGACCCAGACAGCCAAGGAGATTCTGATAGATCGAGCGAAATGAAGTAATCAAATCGAGTTGGATTTAGGTCACTATCTGCCTCCGTTGAACTCATACCATACGGACATTCGAAGTTTCGGCCCAGATAACTGATTCCTAAAGGGTAAGGTTGAATTCTGAATATTCATTCGATATCGTTTTTTCGTCAGGACTTAATATCTGCATTCGTTTAACGAGAAACGCTTGTTTTCACGTTGTTGTGATCATCAATTAAACGAGGGAACCGATCGTTTTCACGTCAAACGGATGTGATATTCGGGGAGCTCAGAGAAGGTCAAAATCCCAGGACGGATTTTGCCCTCAAATTGTGATTCGGTGGGGCACAAAAACTTCGAATTGGTCGGAGGTGAGCGTTGTATGAGTTCAGAGAGGGCCAGATATGTGAACCAATCCGTACTCCAGACTCGAGTTTACGTCGACCAAATCCACTACTCGATCGAGTACGTCATATACCTGATCTACTTGATCTACTTGCTCTGCTGGGTCGTAAACTCGGAAGAATTTCGAAAATTAGAGTAAAAGCTCTTATAGGAGACGAAGCAAAAACTTTCGCGCCAACGGGATGCAAACCCACAAGCATTCGCCTTTGAAGCGAGACCGTTACCACTAGGCCACGGTGGCACTGCCTAGCAATCGATCAGCAGCGCTTACGAGCCAAAACTGAGTTTTCGCAAACTTTGACCGCCCAGAACTCGTCTGGGAGGTCCCCGTAGCACTTTTAATCTGCATATTCGTAATCAGCATTCGAGGCTCTATCGATGTACCTAGGTCTCCATTCAAAGTTCCATGGGAAGTTCAAACCATTCCCTTGTGAGCTAAGAGCAAAACGTCTTGCCTCACCTGGGACTCGAGCCAGGACCTCGCGCTATAGAACAAATGTGCTGCCTTTTCCGAGCCACATACTACTCTTCAGGGTACAGCATGGTTGTGTGAAACCCGTAGGGGGTCGTACTTTCCGTTGGGGAGGGGGGGTCGTATTTGGTCGTTGTTGGGAGAGGGGGAGGGGTCGTATGTGGCTTTGAGAGAAATTTGCTGCGTGGGAAAAAATTTCCCGGTTGTTGACTTTCGCGTGATTTTGTTTCCTGTTTCATGCGTACTATTCACCCCTCCCCCCACTTCCGCGCTCGACAGCAAAATTTTTGGGGAAAAGTAGGGAAGTTTTCGGTAATTTAAGGAGAAAGTGGTAGGAAGTTGGGGATGGTTTACGAAATTTGCCCGTTTCACATTGGCTACATACCCTCCCCTCTCTCGCTCGACGGATATTTTTCGATGAAAAAGTGGTGAAAAGTGGAAAATTGATGGGGAATTGGTAGAGGGTTGGGGAAGGGGGGAAGGGTTGTACCGGGACCCTCATTCAGGTGGGGGTCGTACTGATACCCTTTCTCAGAGGAGTTCCTACCTACATCACCATTTCACACATCACGATGCTGTACCCCGCTACCCTTCCAGCTTAATTTAGCTCATCAGCTAGAGGTTAGTACGCGAACTCTGTGGCGTCTCGGTTGCACCAGGGTACAGCATTGGGATGTGTGAAATAGCGGTACGACCAGTACAACATCCCCCCAATCCCCTCCTTTGGTACAACCTCCCCTTACCTGGTATCTTCCTAAGTTTCCCTAACTTTCCCAGCTTCTTAGCCCCCAGTCGATGCAAAGCGTTACGGTTATGTTAGCGCCATAACGCCCTGCAACTGCTAGTGATTTTTGGATCGCGAGCTGCCGCCAAAAACAGCATTTTCATAACACAACAGATCAAACTCGCGCTTTACTCAAACTATGTGCTCAACAAACCAATAAAGGGAGCAGTTCGGCTTTATGGAAGCACTAGACGGTACTCAGCTATGCTTGTACAGGTCTCACTGTCAATACCTGCAAACTCCTGTGACTGGAGCGACCCACCCGAATATTTTCGAAACATTACAGGAGTTTACAGGTCTGGCGGAGTGAGACTTACCAGTTAACATGAACCAACAAGAGGAACTAGCAAAAGTACAAAGAACCCCTCCAAGTCGAAGAGCCCCACATAATGTCATTGCGTCATACACTAGTTGATGCAGGAACAGCAAATGGATGATCGCAGTACTACACTTCAAGTTTGCGCCCAACAGGAACTAGAACCACTTCAAAAGTGAAAGATATGGTGAACATAAAGACCTGATCAGCCCTCATATGAGTGATACGTCCATAAAGTGTTCACGGGCAATAAATCTCACTGACATTCTCACTTCCATTCGAATAGGGTCGTATAAGGAGTGAAAGTGAGCTATAGTAGTTCAAGGCATGACAATGAAGATGAAGGTGGAGGTGTGGACTAACCACGGAGGATCCAAGAAAGGAGGCGGGATGCAAAGGAGGCCAGAAGAACAAGAACAAATGTTCGCCAACATCCGCGAACAAAAGGGAGCGAGAACCACCGAGTCCATTGCTGAACAGTGCTCAATGAACACTTCGTATGAATAAACACGAAAATGTATATTTAAGTGTTCACTAAGCACTTCGGGGATGCGCCACGCATTTCACTTCCATCCAGAACTGAGTGGCATTTCGAATTCGACTTGGCCTTACACGACTTGAGTGGGCGAGAGGAGAGATGGAAAGCCTGGTTGGCCCAGGCGGAAATTCGACAGCCCAAGGATTAAAAGCCGAAACCCTAAAAGGAATAATGATAGCGCAGAGAGCTGTAGTGATCGTGATCAGGGCAAGCCGCACGTATGATTACCCAAACCACGGCCACCGTCTATATTTTCTTATCCACATATGAAACGCATTCGGAGCGCAGAAATGGTGGATCATTAAGGGGGTCTTGGGACTATGCCGAGATGACTGCCATAAAATGATTAGCCCAAGGATTAAAAGCCAAAACCCTAAAAGGAATAATGATAGCGCAGAGAGCTGTAGTGATCGTGATCAGGGCAAGCCGCACGTTGAGGAGTCGTATTTGCCTTCAAGGAAAATGTCTTCCGGTGTAGTCCATTTCTCGTGGGTTTTCCCGTCCCGTTTCATCTGCGCTATACCCCTCATTCGCCCGCCGGCTTTTGGTGGAGGAATTT